AGGGAAATGCAGCTCTGCAAACAAATTTTCTCGGAGAAAAAAAAAATGAAAAGATAAATATGGGAAGAAGAAAAACATTACACAACAATGACTCACCTCTCTATTAAATTAGAAAGAACAACTGATACATTGTTTTAAAAATCCCCTTATATCTGTTTGGCGAAATGCAATCGGTCGCGCAATGTTCTGTAAAATATGAATGGCACTGCATGTATGTTCGGCTATGTATGTAATATTCGGTCATGGCAGTGCAGCCTACTTTCAGCGCGCCTGCTCAGTTAACAGGTGCATTTTTCTTATACATAATGTAACAACTAACTGGATACATTTCGGACTATAAACGCTCTAACAGGTTGAAACGGGTGTAAAATGTACCAAAATAATTCAATTGTAGTGCGTCAGTAAAAATGGAAGATGATGACATCATACACAATGCAGCGCATTTCTGCAGCCCATAACGGTGCTCGCTTCACTGGTGTCCTGCTTTTTGAATACATCTACCCTGCTGGGTCTAAAATAATATTCTATAGCATTATCCTCAACTAACCAGTGCGCTTCTCCGTTTAACAGCAGCTGGTGTAAACGAACGGAAAAACGTATAGCTCAAGTTAGCGCAGTGCATGATCTATGACAACGTTTTATGTCATTGCAATACATTATGAAAACGTCTCCTATATCAAGCACATTCGCAGTGAAAACAGGTGCATTTGCAAAATTAAAACGAATCGAACCCGTGTGCATGCAAATAAACGTACAGCTTACCTCTGTGGACGATATTTGGCTCTGCAAAAAATAATAAACACGGGGCGAACACAGGAAGTCCCGCCTATTTCTCACTCACTAAAAAGCATCTCATTATGAGAAGGAAAAGTCACTGGGGAAAAACATCAATAGCGCTAAACGCTAACAACACTATCAATTTTATTTTTATGGAATAATTTGTTAGTGTGTAATAATATTTGTTAGGGCTACTGAAGTCTAAATGATAGTTGTAAATGTCAATATATCCATCTACTGTTCTTCTAAATAATGACTTTTTGTTGTGTACAATATTTTAACCAGTGGATGTAGAATGGTTTTCAGAAGGACCAAGTTTTGATTCAGATTGTCAGGCGAATTTTCTTTGGCGTCCCTTACGGTCACTGCTTAAAATATGCTGTGTTTGTGATTTATATTTATGTGATTAAGTATTTATGTTCTGTACTTCAATGGTCCGTCCTTCAATGTGATCAAAAACGCGCGAGCAGCCTTTGCCTCATCACATTTCTGTCCGCGAGCGTCTATTTACCGTCATGTGAAAACAGAAATTCTGGCTAATCTATTTTTTGACCGTTACTGAAACATACTAGCCTATTAATAACTGCCTACTTATATAAAAAGAATATGACTAAGTTTTATTATCAACATTCTCCACCAGAGGTCACACAAACATAACCTAATAGGCTACACGGTCATCAATAGGCAGTTTAAATATTAACAATATGCATTTCAGTCTTAAATAATATGATGCAAGAGTAGGCTATAAGAGTTTTAGAGGAGTGTAAGTTGGCCTCTCTCTGTGAGATCCGGGAGATGCTACTGGACTCGCGGCTTTGTGCAGATTCTTTACCGTCTCCATGACAACCACAACCTGACGCAATTTACGCCCCGCCTCCATTCAAGCGTCTCATCTCATTCAAGAAACAAGTGTGGAGTAAGAGCAGTGTTATTGTGCTCTCCTCTAGAGCAGGACGCGAGGAGTACAAGTGCCTGACAAACTACTATGAAGGTAAGAATCATCTTTTCCTTAATACTATCTGCATAAAGAGAGCATCCAGACTTCCTAAACCACATATAAACGATAAAATATTCAAATATTCTTTAAGAGTCACTATTGAGCTGGCTAATAGGCTACTTTGCCTGATCTGAGTGCAGTAAGTTTTTTTTAGATGACTTTCAACAGCCTAAATGATTTTAATTGATTTTCTACGCAGGGTGTATCTGCTTCATGATGTTTTATTCTAATAGGTTGATTGAGCTGGTGTAGCCTATTTTAAAGTAACAACTTTCATTAAGTTATTATTGTCTTTAAAAAAGGAAAGTAAACAAATTTCATGTTCATGAATTGTCTAGAGTTATTCATGTTTTCATTTGGTCTGTATTTACCAGGGCTCAGTTAATCACTGTGATGTGTAATAAATAAACTATTTGGTAATAATCAAAGTAATGTTGTTGCATGTTGTAACAGCTTCAACAGAAAGTTATTAGACATCAAGGCAATATTTATGACCATGATTGTGAAGTGAGACTCTGGCTAGTTCATTTTCACTCCAAATCGGAGAATAATTTTATGCTGAGAAACCAAGATTTACTCATATGCGACAGTAAGGTTCACCGCATCTAATTAGACGTATAAATGCAGTCATGCCTAGTGTTCCAAACTGTTTGTTTGGCCTGAAGAACATTTAATAGGCCTAGGTCTGGAAAAAGGAACAATTTTCCCTTGAGATCTGCATTCTAAACATAATACTTTAGAGAGTGTGGAAAGATAGGCTACAGCACTCAAAACCAATATTATTCATGAAAAGGGAATAAAAAAGTTTGAAAATGTATATTATAATTTATATTAAATTATATTATAGGTTGCACTTTATTTTACAGTAGTCCTATGTGTCCTTACATATACTTATACAGTACTTACCTGAGAAAGTACTGGGTAATATATGGTAACACCACACGAGTTAAGGTTAGGTTTATGGGTAGGTTCAGGGGTCAGTACCTAGTTATTAACCAGTTATTGTAATTACTAAATAGTAGATGCAGAACAGGACTGTAAAATAAAGTGCCAAGTTTTATTAAATCAAGTAAGTGCAAAACCTGCAAATCTTGTTTAGTCTTGATATATTCATGCTACAGGCATTTATATATTACATATACATATTACATATAATATACAGTATTTTCATTCTCTTTGTAGAGTCTCAAGCCTTATTTCACCATGAATTATCATTAGTTTGCCTCAAATGTTAAAGTCTTGGTATGTAGTCAGTAAGTATTTTGAGAAGCACATTTTTCAGACTAAGGTGAGAGTGGTCTGGGATGAATGGATCCCCCCCTGTGAGATGAGTCACGTTAGTGCTGCCACACACAGTGCGGGAGGTGGAGCAAAGCGCTAAATGAGCCGAGACTTCAGGAGTGTGATTAGTCCCGCAGCCGTGTGGAGGTTAATGTGAGGCCAATTAACAACAAGCACACTCCTCTTATGGGAAGAAGGCATTACTAGAGCAGCTGCGATGATGAAAGACGTCAAGGCAATGCGCCAAACACTATATCACAAGTAGGCCTACATTGGACAGACAGCTTTGCGGGAAAGCATAAAAAATGTGGGTGGTCCTGAGACTAATTAGATTATGAGCACAATGCTGATGCATTGCTGTGTAACAGAACTATATGTGATTGTGTTCTCAGCAGTAGTTTTGCTTGTCTGTATTAGAGTAATGAGAGGCTGTAATTGAGCAGCATTATGTTCTTTGGTGATTGTCACAGGTCTGGCTGCTCTAGTGAGGAGTGACATTTAGTTCAGAGCAGACAGTCTTCAGTGCTGCTGACTCATTGGCTGGGCTTAGTTGCTATGGCAACCGCCAGCTTTCTAAGATCCACAGTGAGATATGAGGCATGGATGGAAAGCGTCCGTGTGATCAGTAAACTTCCCATTTTAACCATGATTTACTTCAGAGAAATAGCTTCTGGTTTTACAAATTAAAACCAAATAATCTATCAAATACACCATTTTCTTGTAAAACACTCCAATAGGCTAATCTTTTATTAACTTTGAAAAAATCCTTTTGTATTTAATTTGATTTAAATGATCATATATTCAAAATATATCATTTGAATCAGCGTAAATATGTTAATTGTGAAAACAATTAAACTGAAACACTTAAAAAGTATATGAGCAATTAGTTTATTTAGGTAAAATGTTTGATTAAACAGTTAAAAGAATAATTATAAATAGTTATTATTAAAAAATAATAAATATAATGCATTTATACATTTATTTATATAAATAAATAAATAAATAGGTGGATTAGATTATAAAATATAAAAACCTGGCTATTGTGTATCTTTTATAGTTTATTGGTACTATGACGAAATACATGTGACAAATACTGTATGCATCACATTAAGTGTACTTTTATGTTAATACTGTTGACTTGATGTATGGAAATTTTATATGCTATTAAAATACATAAATCTTTAATATTAGGCCTAAACTTTTAAATGATGAAAAGGTAACCAAGTTCGTTTCAATTAAAGGAAAGAAGCAAGATGTGTTAGGAGTGCTACACTCTAAAAAATGCTGGGTTAAATACAACCCAGTGCTGGGTAAAATAGGGACAAACCCAGCAATTGGGCTGTTTTGACCCAGCGGTTGGGTTACTACCCAGAAGGTTGGGTTAAACATTTAACCCAACCGCTGGGTCAAAACAGCCCAATTGCTGGGTTTGTCCCTATTTTACCCAGCACTGGGTTGTATTTAACCCAGC